GGGGGGAGGGGAGGTGAGGGACTTGAGCTGCAGTTACAACATGGGAAGAGGTGGAGGCCACTCAGCCCGGTTGAGCCATAGGGATGATACTGCCCTGAACGGGGGTGGAGGGGTGGACACTCGGCCCATCTAGTCCGTGCCGACAAGCGGATGCCCTTCCCAATCCCGTCCTCCTGCCCTCGTAGAACCTGGTATCATATCCCTCAGTGCCACCTCCTCCCACCGCCCCCGCCCCCGCCCCCCCTCCGAAACCTAACCCCCTCCAAATCCTTTCACCCCATTGGCCTCCAGAAATATATCGGGCTGGGTGGGGCGTTAGAACGATGAAGTGCCCCTCATTGCGTTCGGAGATAATCGTGAGATCATGGAGTGCAGAGGAGGCCCTTCGGCCCACAGGGCCTGTACTGCCATTGGGGAATGCGCGCGGGGGCAATTGGGGGGAGTGGGGGTTGGGGGCCAGTAGTTGCTTCCCTCACCACCCCCACCCCAAGCTCCCAGAGATTTGTCCCTCAAGCCAAACACTTTCAAACATGTAAACCACGACCCCCGCCCTCCCTCTGCTGTCATGGGATCTTGCTGTGCGCACCACTTCCCATGTTGAAACAGCGACGGTGCTACCACAGAATAAAGGGGACGGGCTCCTCATTGGCCGTGAGGAACCTTCGAGGGTGTGTGTGGTGGGTGGAGTGGGTGGGGGGGGGGGGGGGAGGGGAGGGGAGCGCGGGGGGTTTGACGTGGAAGGGGTGGGGACCAGCGCCAGTGAAATGCAGACATTCGGCTCTCACCTCGATGTCTCTGTGGTTCCCCTCCCCTCCACCCCCCACCCCCCCACGCCGCCGCCACCAGACGTGGTGAACGAGGCTGAACCACAGGCGGAAGGCTGGACCCTCAGCTTCGAGGCCACGATCCGCCCAACGAAACACACCGGCCTCATCATGGCCTTGCTGACGGCACAGTACGATCCCATGGTCAAGCTGCAGTTCTCCCTCCAGGACCATCATGAGGTGAGCGTTTTACGCGGAGGTGGCAAACTGTGAACAGAGTGGGGGGTGCGAGCGCAGAGGGTCTATCTGAGATGGGAGGTGCTGGCCAGGAACCGCGGGCCCAGCTCTCTCTCTCGTGGCGCCCCCAACCCCCCCCCCCCCCCCCCCCAACTCTATGGCCGAATAGCCTCCAGACAGCAGGAGGAGAGACTTAATCAAATGACGAGGGGACCCTGACCAGAGGGACACAGATGGAAGGGGAGAGGGGAAGGAGTTTGAATTAATACAATGGCAGGTCATTGCAACTATCTGCCCAGATGGGGTTAGAATCAATAGGATCGTTCAATAAAGGGGCAAAGCCTGAAATCAAACAACTTGGGGCAAAAAAATAAACAATGGAGTAGGCCATTCAGCCCCTCGAGCCTGTTCCACCAATTCAATAAGGATGACATGGTGCCTCAGTGGTTAGCACTGCTGCCTCATGGCGCCAGGGGCCCGGGTTCAATCCCACCCTCGGGTGACTCTCTGTGTGGAGTTTGCACATTCTCCCCGTGTCTGCGTGGGTTTCCTCCGGGTGCTCCGGTTTCCTCCCACAGTCCAAAGATGTGCAGGTTAGGATGGGTTGGCCGTGCTAAATTGTCCCATAGTGCTCAGGGATGTGCAGGTTAGGGTGGATTGGCCGTGCTAAATTGTCCCGTAGTGCCCAGGGATGTGCGGGTTAGGGTGGATTGGCCGTGCTAAATTGTCCCGTAGTGCCCAGGGATGTGCGGGTTAGGGTGGATTGGCCGTGCTAAATTGTCCCGTAGTGCCCAGGGA